AATTAAGCAGATGCTAATAAGTTTGCAGGAACTTGAGTCTGTCTGACCAGTGTATTTTCCTGCTAGCTCTGGCTGCCCAGAAGTATTTACAGTGTGCTCTCACCTTCCAATAAACTTGGGACAACACAAAAACTAGCAATCACACTTGCAATTATGCATTTGAAAGTATGAGTCTTTTGCTATTAAAGTTCTGAATAGATGCCAAAAAAATAATTACTTCAAATCACAAATGGCAGGGGTCATATAAAGCTTAATCCATAAGAATCTCCATATAGATAGAAAAAGAGAGATCTGTGTTAAGAATGGTCCGTGGAAGAAAACATTATGGAGGAAGCATGGAAAAAACAAAAATTCATAAGTCAGTGTTTATCAGAAAGAGAAGGATCTTAGCAAATCCTTCACAGAAAAGGAAAAACAAAAAAAGCAAACCAAAGATAAAATATAAACACCAGGGAAAGTGATTGATCTAGAATTCGTTCCCTTTTCCTTTCTCACCCCTCCTAGGTGACATGGTGATGAAAAGAGAGGATTAAAATGGGCTGCTTTAAAGCCAAAATTTTATTAGGAAATTATTAAAAGCACATTGTATATCTTAAAGAGAAGTTTTGTTCCTTTTGTTCCAGCCTTACTGCAAAGCATTTCCAGAAGAGAGCAAGAGAAGAGGAGAGGGGAAAAACGTAGATCATTCTAACTTTAATTATTCATGAATAATAGTATCAGTGGAATTTTCCATTTGTTTTCCCTGTCCGTCATTCACTGAAAACTGAAGACAGGTCTATATCCAGAAAGGATTTTTGGGTCAGGAACGGCTGCCTCTCTTTTGTTTGGAGAACAGTTTTGAGCTGTAACTGCCAGAACAATGAGAATCCACCCAGGTGGGAACTGAGTTATGGAAGCAGGGGAATGGCATGGGAGAATTGAAATTTTCTCTGTGCACCCCCCAACCCCCCAGAAAAGGCAGAGGGAGGATGGAAAAAGCAGAGGTAGAGAAATTTCTGAACTTCAAGGTCTCCCAGCCTGGACAAATTGACCAGAATTACAGTTGTTATTTCCACTGAAAATTTACTTCCAACGCACATTGCATATGACTTCTGGAATCCTTAAGGGATTTATCTTCCTTACCTTGGCCCATATGGAGAAATACTGGCCAACTCTGGCTTTATGGAGAGGTCAAAGGCAAAGAAGCAAGAAATAGAGCACTACTAAAGCTGAAAATTTTAATTTTCCTATTTTATTTTAGATCTGTACTATGTGACATGGTTGGTGTATGCCTGTCATGTAGTATCAAAATAAAACAATTTATTGAAGAGTGAAAATATTGTCTGCTGAATTCTGCGCAGGGAGCTGGAGATACAATGCTCTGTTTATTCTAATGTTCATGAAAGGAGGTGAGACTGCAGTGGTGTGCCATCTTGCTACAAAGGGGCAGAATGTGCTGGGCTTGGAGCAAGCAGGAGAAAGGTAGTCAGAAACCTGTAACTTGCAGTAAGGACTGCTCCTAAAAGAAGTCTGTGACACTCAGATACTGAGCAAGGGATCTGTACCAGACATCTGTGTCTTTATTATGGACCAAACTGTGTCTGTATTTTTACTTGTATTTACTTAAAACCCCCAAACAGCCAAAATTCCAGTCTTCAAGCCTCATTAACATTTTCCTTCTTTAGGATTTTCAGGTAGAAAGCCCTTGGTGGTGTTATTGGTAACAAACAACTTCTGAGGAATATGGGAAAAAGGAATGCTTAGGGACTTTTGTTTCAGGGCAATGAAAGCAGAAGGGATACATTTCTTGGATATATTTGACCAGAAGCACCTTCAGATGTTTGTAGATCCCTAGCATAGAACAGTGACTTACTGTTGCCACCCCATTGACATATTGTGGGGACTAACTCAAAGAACTGTGGGTGAATCTAAGATGAAATGGTTTAAAATGGTTTCACAAGGAACAGAAAACTGGATGGACTTGGAGATCTCTAGGTAACCCTATAAATCCATCCTTAAATAAAGAATCTGCTGAGTCTAATTCTACTCTATTGCCTACATTGATTTTAGCTATAAAATAATAACACAGAATACCTAAATCTACTTTAGTTGTCCATGACTGATTGTAGTATGAGCTGGTTAAGAATCATACCCTTGATCGTTGCTCAGTTGGTGTTGTGGTTCAAGCCTCCCTCCATGTACAGGCCACCCAAGCGCTTTTGCTAGGACAGCCATGTGTGTATGAACCATTGGCTTCCATCCAACCTGAAAAATGCTTGTAATTATGGAGTCCTGTTGAAATGAAATCAGTGAAACAGGTCTCTGCTCTTACAAATGATGCACAGAATCCAGAGATCCTGAAGGCCTTTGTTTTTGCTGTTTTGATTCCTCGTGTTCTTTGGATCTGTTTATTAATTGAGAAAAAAATACTGTGCTGGTTAGCAGGATCACTATTTAGCTTGAAAAGATGCCCACAATCCAGGGGACGATGCTGTAAAATCTGTTAAATAGCTGACCTACATTTTTCAGATATTGGGATGAAATCCACCAGCATAGTTGAAGTAGCGGTCAATCCCCTGGCAGCCTTGTACTTCTTAGGTTGTGACAGGAATCTGCTAACAGTATTTAAGAATTCAAAGATGGCTCATTATGGCTTTGCTTTTCCTACTAAGTCATTCTCCATGCTGCTAAAATGCAAAATAAGGTATTTTAAGTTTTGAAAGGATTTACCAGTCAGGTTGGAAAACGCTGACATCTGTTTCTCAGAGCTATGACTCGGATTAAGGCACCAATCCTGCAGCATAAGACATCTTGCTGTGTATGGCTGTTCCCCAATGCAGTTTGCAACTACCTGAAAGGAATTACACTGAAGTGTGAGGAACAACAGTAGCTTGCTGATTTGGTGTCTGCATCCCCTAGATGAGCTACAGCCACCAAGCAGTGCAGTGAGCCCACTCCTTGGTCCTACAAGTCTTTAACACTTACGACAGGTGCTGAGCTACAGAAATGGCTGATCTGGAAGGTGCTGTGTTGATGCTTCCATAGAGGTTAAGTTCAAAGCAGGTGGATTGAGAGTTATCCAACAGGATCTTCCGTGTGTCATAATAATCAGGTTAATTCAGGAATGAAACATTGGGCTTGCCCTGTGGCAGTGTGGCTCCAAAGTATATCGCTGAAAATCATCTGAATTTCAAAAGTTATGGTTGTGCAGTGTACAGGGATGAAAAATGCTGGCTTACTAAGTTCAGGATTCAGTCTTTGGTTCTGCATGAGCATAAGGAAACAAAGCGTAATCTCTTATATCTTTTGATATTTTCTTTTTTATTTTCATGCACCAAATATGCATTCTTATATCTCTTAGAAAATGCTCCTAGGTCAATTTTTGTGTCCTAAGAGGAATTTCAATTGTTCAGGAAAGCAAGGACTGAAACTTTTTCCTTAATAATTGGAGCCAATAGATGCTCCCAGTAGTGAAATTTCTTTGTTTTTCACCTTAATTGCAAGCACCAGCAGAAAGCTGTAGTTAAGACACTGACAATAGAATAAATAGCTGACCTGATGGAGCGTGCTTGGGCTGTAGCCAGGAATCTCATCAGTAGATACTTTCTCCTTCGGGAAATGTTTTTTTTTTTTTTTTTTTTTTCTTTTCCTCTTGGCTTTGTAAGTCTTGTAGTAACCTACATAAAAGCAAAAGATTTCTTTTTCTTGCTTGCTTTATTTTAAACCAAGCCTTTATTTTTTTATAACTCGTCAAATTCCAATGAAGTGGTCTGGTAGATTGTGACCCTTGAGAATAGGAAATGTTAATACTATTTGTGAGCTATGGATTGCTTCTGCTTTTACTTGTATCAATATACATCTAGTAATATGTGTTGTGAATTTATCAGGCTTAGATAACCTTGAGTGCGACTGGTATTATAGCTTAGTTCTGCATAACTTTGTGTTATTTCCAAAATGTGATGCATATAACACCCATGGTCTGGAATTCTGTTCTCTCACGAGCTTCAGTGTACAGAGACTGTCTCATAAATGTATCATCAACATATTAGTTATCTAAATAATCAAAGTGACTGCCTGCAGTTGCTGTTTGCTGGAGATTTCATCTGGTGGTCAGGAGCAGAGGAAGTGCCAGTTAAATAACAGCATGCTCCCAACTGTTGGAGGCTGATGTTGACCCCTCATTAAAGAAAGCCAACAGCTGTGCAAGGAACCAGAGGTTCTTCCTGTTCTGCCTCTGTGGGGTTGCTATGGGAACGTGGGTAGAAGAACCACTAGTATGGACTGGCAGCAAGTGAAGGAAATCTGTTGTAAATGATCTAAATATAAAACATAGCATTCAGCTTGATAGACCAGTCATGGACTACTACTTTACGTTGTTTGAGCAGTGAATTTGTTTCATGTTGAATGAATGGAAAGTGTTTCTTGCTGACTTTTGTCATAGGTTGAAGGTGTTTTGTGGATGGAATTTGTTTGTGTATTTTGTTGGCTGTTGGTGATGTAGGTGAGTAATTTACAGAGCACAGAGCTGGTTCTTGAAGGAAAAAAAGTAATAATTCTAGGAACAAAAAATGACAGACAACAGGAAGTTCCATTTCTAATCTTACAGGGAAGACTAGAGCTCATTTTCTGCCTGAATGTGTTATCTGGATAATCAAAGTTAATCACCATTGTTTAACACTTCAGATTAAAAAAAAGAAATTGTGTCTGTAGGTGTCCAAGACAGTTGCCTCCTAAATAGTGGGGAAATTTATGTGACTATTCCAACTACGCTGCTCATGTGAAACGGGCAGTCTTTCACAAAGTCACCATGTTTGCAGAAAACTTCGAGTACTGAAACCACTCTTCTCAGAAAGAGAAAGGAAAAAACCCTGTCTAAAAGCAAAGCTGGCAGGTGGTAAAAATAAAGTGGAATACAGGTCAGATTTTCAGGAGCCTCACTTCTTGCATTCTGCCCATGATCTACTTCTGTTTCTTATATCAGTTTACATATATAAATGTATTTATTCTTATTTTCTTTTTAGGTGATCCTGATCCTTACCAAGTATTATCATACTGACATGGGGAAAGTGCTGGAGAGCTCTTTGTGGAGGTACGTTCTCTGCTTTTCCAATAACCTTCCTCCCTGCCCCATTCTCAGTGTAGTTCTGTCTCTTTTCCCTTTCCAAACTGCTGCTGAGTTGGGTTGGTAGCTGATTAATGCTAGTACAGCAAGATTATCCAGATTGTCATCAGCTCTTACTCCTTCTCTTCCTTAAATGCAGTTCCTGCAGTTTAATACAAAAGAGTTTGAAATTAGTTTTAACGGTAGAGACAAACAATGATAGAGAGTATCAGGTATCTTCTGATGGCACTTTGCAAGATGCCATTCTCTTCCTTTTCTTTGGAAAGTCACTTAAAAACTTGGATATGCTTATTGTGTTGGGATGTCTCTGTTAGGAGTTCTCACTGCTCTTGAGTACTGTACTGAGGTTAGTAAATAATCCTGATTTGGAAGTAGTCACGACTGGATGAAATACAATACCAGTGCAGGTTATATGGTCTCTTACGACAACTAGGAATATGTAGTGATCCAAATAAATTTCTAAATTGATTCTCATTTCATTAACATTCATGAATTTGGATATCAAAATCCCCATTGTCTGTGTGTGCACAAATTGCGCTTTCAGGTGTGTATCAGCACAAAACCAGGGCTAGGGTAAGTCTATGTTATACTGGCCATACTGGTTATCTTCTCTTGTGTTAATTTTGTTTTGCTAAGTGGGCTTTTGTGCTCTAATTTTCTGTGTATCTGTATAAATCTTCCATAAAAAATTTTTGCTAGACCCATTATGTACACTTCAAAAGAGAATGTATTTCACTGTTATCAATAAACATAACATTGCTCCAACGTTTGCTATGCTAGTTTAGCTGGCTTATCTGTAGGAGTAGAAATATTCTTGAAATATTCATCTGGGATTTCTGAATAGTTGTTATAAATGACTGGAGACTTACTTGAGGAGTCTTATGTGAAATTCTTATGCAGCCCATAAGCTTCAGGTCTAGAAACAAACAGGTTATCTAATGCTTTGTGGCTTAGGTACTTGTGAACTTCATACTGTCCCAAGAGCTTGTGTGGGGACTCGGCCTTCATTTGTGTGTGTAAGGAGCTTTACGGAGACAATCCAAGAAAAGGAGTGGGCAACGCAATAGGGAGTGGGAAAAGTCTGTGACCAGGACATAAAGCACACCAGCCTTGTTACTTGTTTTGAAGGATTTCTCATAATGACGGTGTATCTTTGCAATAGCTTGATTTCATCCTAGTAGCTGAGTTGTGCAGGCTGGCCTGGGGCAGTGGTCCATGCAGCACAAGGGTATGTTCAGGTAAAAAAGAAACTTCTAGTCGTAAAAAAGGGGTGTTCAGGAAAGAGAGTAACATCAAATGGAGACTGGTATTGGCTCAGGTTTGGCCTTTTTAGGGCTGTGATGGTTAATTTGTAATTATCCTTCAAACATACAAGATGTGAAATTAACTGGACATTTGTTTCTGTTTTAATTTTTGTCCAACATCTTGTGCAAAGAAGATAAACAAATGGCAATTTGGATACTCCCGTAATTGCGTAAGCACACATTGCTTTCCTGTTCTATGCCCCTGGCCTATACAACATGTGCAATATGTTTCAAGTTTTTCTTCAGTGTAATCTATCATAGAAGTCTTTTAAACTTATGCAGTCAGACTCTTCAAAATAAACTCTCTGCTCTTTCAAAATAAACATAAACCAGGCTTCAGATAATGTTGCTTTCTTTTGAGAATATAAACACTTTAAACAAGGTCATTCAGACCTTGTTGGCAGCTGGTGTAAAGAAACTGGTGTGAACTGCATTCAGATAGAGTTGATGCTAGTGTGCATCATAGGGCAGTCAGGCCCTTTTACTTCCAGGTAATAGATGTACCAGATGCTTTGGTTGTTTATAAAACGAGGATGGAAAAGCTGAAAGGAAGCAAGCGCTGAAGAGAAGCACTTGGGCCAGGGGTGGTAGGTGATCCATCCCTAGGTATGTTCTGCTCTGGGCTAACCTCCTTCCTCTGCCCACTGAGGCACAAAAGCAACACATGAGGTTGTCAGACTGGGGGGCTTCCAAAGTGCCTGCATCTGGAAAAGCACAGATGACACCAAAATATCCAATAGTGCCTCTCTCTGTTGAAATGTAGCTCATTATTTGTACTAAATAGAATAAAAATAAATACTGTCTGTGGAGTTGGGGACCTTTTGTGTTTTTCTCTGTGTGAAATGGTTGGGTGTGAACTGGTGGGGCTCCATGTTTGCTGGTGGAGCCAGGGTGTTGTGCTCACATTAGCAGCCTGCCCAGAATGCACAATGTATATGTTTTTAAACTTCTTTATTTGATTCTCTTTTGCATTCTTCTTATTTGCATCAGAAAAAGATACAGTAAAACAGGTGTGAAAAATGTTAGAGGTTTTTTTGTCAGTGGAAAAAAGCCATTAATCTTTGTGAGGTTTCTGTGCCCTAGTGAGAATGGATCCTGTCTGGTTATTTCCTGAATCAGTCCAATGTTTTTCTTCTTCCTGTCTTGCCCAGCTAGATCATCCCAGACACTTCATATTCTCTAAGTCTCTAAGCGAAAATAAACTTGTTTCATAACCTGATCAATCCCCACCAGGTTACTTTTTCAGTGTTGTTAATCTCCCACTTTTATCTTGCAAATCAGTAAATATTATCCTAGCTTGGCATTTATTGGTTCTTTTGTTTCTTGAAAATGTAGCTGTCTTTTCTTCCTCTAAAACATATTTCCTGTTCATCTCTCTCTCTTCTTCTCCCATCACTCAAAATAATTGGTGGGTTTTTTTCCTTGCTTTGTGGAACAGGGAATGAGAAGGGAAGGGTGACTCAGTGGTCCAGCGATGCTTATTTCTTCTTAGTGACCTCGGAGTTGCAGTCAGACTTTTCAGAGTAATACAAATGGTGGGGAAAACCACCGGTTGGAGGTGCATGCCTGGGGTGGAGGGCTCTTTATGCGAAGAAGATAGACAATTTTTTTTTTTCTTTTAGAAGTGTATCTAGTTGACTAATTTCTGTGCCTCTGCAGAGTGTTGTTAATTTGTGTAGGTAATTTATGCCTGCCCCCCCAGGTCAGGTTACAGGATTGGGAGGCCTAAATTTTAATTGCCTTGGAATCTTTTCATTGTTGAATAAACGAGGAAAATGGTCCTGGAGAATGAAAGTCTTAACAGCTCTTTACCAGTAGCAGCCAAGTCTGATTACACTGAAGAGGTGGAGGCATAAATCTTCGTGGGAACACGTAGTTAGAAAACACCAGGGTGTGCTGCTCTAGTCAGCTATTTCTGATACTTTGCTAATTTGCCTATTAAGTAATTGTGAAGTTTGGGGTAAATTATATAGTTATTTACTTCAAAATAAGGTAGGGAAATAAACAGAGATTACATTGGTTACCTCTTGAATATAAATTAAAATAACCTATTGAGAAGGAACAGAGGGTTGTTTTCAGGTTTATTTTTAGAGTTTCTAAACTGCAGTATGTATTGGGAATATAGGCTGGCCTTTGTCTTAGGCCTCATTAGCGTAAAGACAAAAGCTCATACTGTGACTAAATTCAGGTACTAAAATTATCTTCACAAATTCTTCCCATATTGAAGATACTGTGCATACTATTGCTGTTTCTGTCAGAGTCCACACACATCTTTATCCAGCAGGCTTATGGTGTGAAGGGCCTGAATCAAACAGACCATGTAGGAGAATAGCTTCTGGAGTATGTGTTTTCATATGCTTGATGGACCAGTTTGTGCATAAATACATAGGTGCACATATTTGACAACCTCAGGTGCCTGCTTGCATGTGTTTCATGCCTGCAGCTTTAGATGTATGTACTTTGATTTTACAATCAAATATTTTAACTTTCAGATGGTAGATGGTAGCCACTAAGAAATTAATACCTATACTTATCTGCACACCTGAGTTAATTAATCCTAATAATGTCTCTTGGAAATAGATATATATTATTTTTATTATTATTCCATTTTATACATGAGACACCTGTGGTAGTAGCTGATTGCTGAAGGTTATGTAGTGACAGCATTCTATGGCCGCAGAATGGGCTTCCAACCCTGTGCTTAGGCTGGCTCAGAGTCCCGTTTCTGGTATGCAGGCAGCCTTCCCCTTCTTAACTTGATCTCAGCAATGAATAATAGATTCTGATGATGATTGCTAATAAAGTTGTGATTGCATATTATCAAGCTGTAATGATATGATAGTGCTAAAGCGACTTGCTGTGTAATTGCCATTGTTCCCAATGGCATCACCATGTTGTTATTGCTTCGCCACAGCAGAACAAATGGCATTATTTGATGTTAACTGCACTGTTAACTCCTCTCAGCATTGCATGCTGAACCCCAAGCAGGCCTGTTTTCAGAGACGTTGAGATATTTTGCCTCATGTTGTCAATAATGAGCTGCTAAATGAAGAAACAGACTTTGACTGCTTAAACGTGGTTGGCTATCATAGCTAAACATCCTGGGCCTGCTTGCTCCCAAGGCAGCCTGAGGCAGGAGGGAAGCCGCAGCGCTGTGCGAGGAGATTGTGCATCCGGGCCAGTGGCCGGGCGGCTGGAGGTAAGAGCGGCTGAGGGAGCCTCAGGCTTGGCAAACCTCTGGCAGTCAGGAAAAGCCTCTCTGCTGGCACTGCCATTTCCATCTGCACCCACAAAAAGCCACATATTCAGGGCAAGCCCCGGTTATACAGGCCCCCTGGCCCTCAGTAGCAGTCAATGCATGGTGACTGAATGGTGCTTTGGGCATTTACATAAAGATGCGTGCCTACAGTAAGGTTAAAATCCAGGCTACAGAGAGTGGGAGATCCTTTTAAGGTGGGTGCAGTGAACAACATACCACTTGGGAAAGTAAAATTTCCAGACTCTCCATAGAGCGTGAGAGAACAAGTATGGGCATGTGTTTCCAAACTCTTTGGACTTGTAGCTGAAATTCATTTGACCTGTTTCCTAAAATTAATTAAAATAAACAAACAAACAACAACAAAAAAACCCCAGTACAGAGTCTGGTGCCCCAGTGAAATTATT